AGTCTGTATAGTAAGGAGACAGTAATCTAAAGATGGTTAATTTGCCTAGTTGAGTGGTGGTTAACCTGTTCTGGGGGTAGGAGAAGTTAAATTTCCTCCAAAATTCAAGCATGCAGCTTGGATTCCTCCTGGATTCTGTGTTGCCTCAGTGATTAGGAGCTCCTGTTATCAGCTTTGGTTAATATATCAGTTGCAGCCCATGTCTGGGCAGAGGGAACAAGCCCATGTTCTGATTTTGTATGCAAGGGTTACCTCTTGAAAAGAGTTTGGGATCTTCAGAGACCAGCAGAGAGCTCTACCTTTCTAACAGGTATTGACTGATACAGTCACGCAATAATAGTACCTTAATAGTTGCGCACTGGCTTATAGTCTTTCCCAGCCCAATACAAATGTTGGCTTTGACTTTTAGATATTTAGATACTGACTTGAGGCCAATATTTAAACGACTGTCTCTTCCCTAGTACCTACCTAGACTGAATGAAAATTAAAGAGAGCTTTCTAAGCTGATCATGCATTCTATGAATGCACTCTCCAAAGTAGCCTTGCTTAGTGCCCATATTTCTCATGCTAGTCAAATAATTTCTCTTCTTCTAGGTATTTAACAATTTAGACACAAGGATTTATAGAAATAGAACTTTATTGGTTTGTGTCCAATAGCTATTGTCTTTTGTATTCTATATCCTGGGCTGGGGGATTCTTGTTTTTAATGTTTATTTTATTCTGGCTTTTATGTGCATGTATGCTTTGTCAGTTACTGAGAGAACATTTATTATCTAGGAAAATAAAAATAAAATAAAGATGATAGCATGTTTGCTAAATGGAAGTATCAAATATGTTAAGACAGTTTTCTTTTTGCAGTTTCATATGCCTTATTATCGAAAAAAAATGGTATGGGAGATTCTTCATCAGCAGCTGCTATGATGCCAGACCTTTGTTATGGGCCTACGTGCATAGAACATCATCTGATTATGCAGTTGACTTGTACTGTACCCATCTAAAGGCAAAGGTTCAAAGTACCCTCTTGGCTGAGCTCCATTTCAGAGGAGGGATTTATCCAGCAGTATAGTAGCAGCTCTTGGTTCTTGAAGCTCTCCTTCCAAGGAGAAAAAGTATGGAGGAAGGCAGGAATCTGGCAGAGTTTGCTTATTACAGATGGAAGAATGTTTTTAAGTGGGCTGATGCTGAGTTTCGGATGAATAGTGACCTATGTGACATGAAGAAATATATATTGCCATTTTCCAAAAAGTGGCAGGTTGTCTATGGTTTCAGTGCCCTGATCTGGATTCAAACTTAGTACTGCTTATAAGTAACGCAGTTGTAGTTGTAGATGATTTATCCCATGAATTTTAACTGGTCTACTCAAAGCAAAATACAATTTGGACTCACCCTTTGATTCCAAGCAAAAAGCATGCCATGAGCTTTATTTCTGAAGTTTTATTGCATACTTCTGTCAGGGCATTTGATTTGGAAAACTCTGGTTGGGGAGACTGTATTTTGTAAGGCAATGAAAGAAGTGTGTGAACCCATAGTATGTCTCTGAGGCTATATTTTCATAAAACTGGATCTTAGTGATACTGAAAAATGGAAAATTCCCTTTGATTTGTAACAAATCCTTAGTAAAAGCCCTAGGTGGGAATTAGTCTTTATTTAAAAATTACAGTGTTGTATGAGACTATTTATTTGTATTCTTGTATGTATTGGACGTGTGTTGGAATTCCAAGATAGTTTAACTAAAATGGAAATAAATATCTAGTAAATCTGATTTAAATTGATGTGACTTTCATTGCTTCCTCTGTTTAGAGAGTTTGAGGTGGTAGTGAAGGAATTAGATTAAAATAATTTGTGTATGGCAGAACTGAAATATTTTCAATTGTGCTATTATATGCTGCAATGTAATAGAATGTGAGGAGTAGCAAAACAAATGATTTTGTGTTTCACAATGGCTATCTTAATGTCTTCATTACTATCAAGCTTTTTAGACTAAATATTAATGGCTTGTGGTTTGAGTTCAGTACATGCTAAAAGCCTATTATCTGCCTTCTAATACACTTCTATACAGGAGGTTACGCACAAGTTTGTGCTGCTCACTTTAGAGCTGAGGCAGAGAAAAACACAAATTCCCATGCCACAAAAAAAGGAAGCTTTCTTGTAACAAACAGCTTATCATGAAATTATGCTGTAACACGTACAGTTTTGGTGCCCCATTATTCAGGCTTATTTTCAGAGCCTGATCACAGCAAAATTTTTGCAAAAAATAGTACAGTAATTATTGCTGCTATGCATTGTTTTGCAAAGTACCATCACAGTTCCTCAGTTGTTCTATTATTCTATACATGGTATTTCACCTCACTTGCCTTATTATACAATACAGTGGACAATCAGCAAGTGCTGTTAACATTGGATTCCTAACTGTTAAACAGAGATGTGACAATGCAGATGTGTGTTTACAGGAGGTACTTTTATTATAAAGTAAAGCAGCTATGTCCCGGGCAGAAGTCAGTCTTTTACTGTAGAATACATCAGGAATGGAATCAGTGATGGTTTGTGGCTATTGGTAAAGATATATGAATGTAAGTTATATTAAACAACCTAAGCCTCTCTGTCTCTACATATAATCAATTATGCATTGATCTTTAAGTCCACTAAAGCTATTTAGAGGAGTCATTCCTTGGCTGCAGTCATCTGTCACTCTCTCTGGAAATAAGTTCCACTGGAGTGATTAGCATTGGCTGATCAGGGCTGAATTGTGCCAGCTCTTCCAGTATAGCTTAACTATTGGTTTTAACAGTGTAAATTATACATAATCTAGATATTTGGGAATAACTTGATGGCATTGCTAGTAAGCATAGTTCCAAAGTTGTGCTCCTGCACAAGGAGAAATTTAACAGCATTGTCATTTATTGTGAAAGGGCTTACTATATTCACACAGCCCAATGGGAGGAAAGTGTGTTGATGTCAAAAATCATTGCCACCACTGTAACCCTCTTATCATGCCTCAGGACGAATGCCAGAAGAGTAGCTGCCCTACATGTAGGTAGCAGTTAACCCCTGAACTGACAGAAGAGCAGGGAAGGAGATTCTTGTCCTTCTCCACTACCTGTCTCTTGTTGCTGATACAGTGCAGATCCTTCACCTTCCTTCCTTCTCTATCCTTTGCTGCACCTTCTCTTCCCTATAAGCTTGGACAGTAGGGAAGGCAAAAGATTCATTTGGCTGGATGAGAAGACAGGCCTCCCCTTCTCTCCTCCTTGTATTCTCTACATTAGCAGCATTTCCATTTGTAGACCAGTAAACACTTCGTAGCAGGGGGAAAGCTGGTCACCTTGAGACAGGAATTGGGCCCACTGTTGCCCATCCAAATTCATGATCATCTTTGGCCTCTTGTCCTTTGAGGACTCACTGACCAGCCAGCAAAGATGCAGATTAGGTGAGGTGGCTACTTTTGTTGGGGGTGAGGAGGCAGAAGTTACACCCATGCAGCTCAAGCCTTTGTATATTCAGAAGTCAGAATTCCACAAACTCTTGGGTAAAGGGGTATTTCTAGCTTTGAGCAGCAGCTTGAAAGAATCCCCTTTGTGTTCTACACTGGGCAATTTCAAGGAAGAAAACTGGATTAAATTCAGGACAATTAAATGGGGAGGGGGTGGAATATAGAGTATTGAAGGTCTTCAATGAGATAATTATTTCTAAGACCTTGGGTTTCTAAGTGAGGGTCTTTTCAGTGAAAGCATAAAGAGCTAGAAAGACACAATCCTGTGGCTGGATGGGAGAGGGCAATCTTCCAGCAAGCCAATTGGAACCCAGCAGGTTGTCCCTTCTCAGGTGGCTCTACAGGGCAGAATGTGCAGGCGGCCTTTAGCCTGTCTCAGCAGCAACAGGCAGGCAAGCAAGCAAGCAATAAGTTGGAGGCTCCAATGTGAGAATATGTCCTTTGTAAAGGTAAGGGTCTGTCTTAGAGCCAGGACAAGGAGATTTGGGGATGAACCAATGGAGAATTATTAACTTTTGGCTCTGCTTCACTTACAAGAAGCTGTTAGCAAGAGCAAGTTTAATTCTACAAAGCAAAAAGAGTATGCTTCAAAATACCCAGTTAATTCCATAAAACAATGGCTCTCAAACTTTGTAGTACCACAGCCCACTAAAATGATAAATGAACACACGTGACCTCCCATGAATAAAATGGATTCACTGTGATTACAGTTGGGCATAAAAAAATTCATTGCTTACTTTGAATAATTACATTTTATTCTATATATCACAGGAGTTCTCCAATTTTGTGGTACTGCAGCTGCCCACTTGTAGCTTCACAAAGCCCGGGGCAAGTTTTAACAACGCTCTCACTTTGCTTTCACAAGCCTGATCAGATTCTAAAAGCAACTATGACCTAAATTGGCTATGATCCCCAAGAGTCCTGACCAACTGTTGAGAACCTCTGCTGTAAGGTATTAACCTCTCTGTAAACTTTATCTTAGAAAATGTTATTTTTTTTCCTATCACAGTAAATAGCCAAATACACACACTCACACAAAATATTTTAGATTATCAGGTCATCTTGGTTTAGTCCTGTCTTCCATTTTACTTGTAAACAGCTTTGTTAAACGTCCCCTGAAAATTAAGATGAAAAACAACTGGAACGTGCTTTTGAAGCCCATAGTAGTGGCATCTTAGTAACAAGACCCCCTTCAGTGTACGTCTTCAGACAGTGGCTGGACATAGTAATCTGTGAGGGATCCTTCAGACTGGATTGTTGCACTGAGTAGGTTGGCTTTATGGCTGAAATGGCATTTCCATCTGGTTCTATGATGCCACTGTAATATAAATTAATCTGAAACCAGGTACTTGTACAAAACACATCTTTGTTTCTGTTCCACCCATTGACCTCACAAGACTGCACAAGAATCCTCTAATTAAAAACAAGGGAAGACATAGATTAGAGAGAGGAAGGCTTGCACCCCACCTATTTTCCAACTTTGTAGTTAAATAAAACTACAGAGGTCAGGTCTTGTTAGCTGGATATATTTTGGGTTTTTTTTGTTTGTTTTCCACAGAACACTGTTTGAAGTAGAGAAAACTGGCATTGCAGTCTGTTGGTACAATGGTATGTTCACAGAACCAGTATAACATCCGTTAGCACAGAAAAACTCTAATAGTGTGTTTCACCTGTCAAACTCAGGAGTTCTGCTCCAGTGTCTCTTGCACTTCTACCTTTTATTATTACTATGTTTGAAGGTTATTGACTCTCATCTAGCAGAAGAATAATACAGAATAATCATCATACAGAATGATGCTTTCTTCCACCTGGCAGCTGTCTTTTGTCTAAATTTATTTCCAACTCATTTTTATTAAAAAAATAAAAAATGCTCCAACTCTCAGTTTTACAAGGCATACAAAATCTCAAAAAGGGACACACAAGAGCAAGGTGCTGAGGTATGAAAACACCTGAGGTAGTTCGTTTCTTTTCTTTTTTGAAAAAAGTTGCAATTTTCATGCCCTGGGCCAACACCCTCTTGTCAATCCCATTTTAAAAATCCATTTCCCAAAGTATTGGTGGCAGCATTCTGCATGCAAAAAGTACCAAGTGTGCTCTATTTTCCTGTAGCAGGGTAAAAGTTTTTTCCCTCCCCCACCCTTTCAGGAAACCTAGATAAAACTAAAGCTTGGCATTTTGATAAGCAGATGGAAATTGTGGCTTTATATGTGTGGGTGTGTGTGCGTGCGCACACACACCATCCATCCATCCATCCATCCCCATAATGCATGTATTTGGAGGATTGCACTCTCTGGTACAAAATGAGAGACTGTATGCAAAAACCAGTTTGAGATCTGTGAAGCAAAGAGAAGATCACATGAGCTGGAGAAAGAAATGCATAGAGATTCCTCTGCTAACAAGACGGTATCCCTTCTGTTGGCACTTACAGGCAATCTATGATGGTGTGCTGCTACCAATATCCTCCTGAAGTCCTTCAAAGTATTGTTCACTTTTGAGTCTCACTTAAATTTAGCTCTGGCTATCCTACGTTCCCATCCTACTTTCTGTTAGTAATCCATAATGGACTAGCCTTTTCATTTTAGTCTAGAAAAGCTGGCTTTTTCTAAAAAATGAAATGTAATTGTTAAAAAAATTAAAGACTGGAGTTAGTTTAGTTAGCTAGATTAATTCTAAAATATATTAATGCTATCTGGTGCAGCAGCTCATGCACTGTGTAAAAACTGCTTTCCTAGTATGTACATACATGTACAGAAAAGATTTTGCAAAATTTCTGCCTATGTTAGTCCAACTAAAGGGATAGCGTTGTACTGTTAGAGAGACTCCATGGAGACTATGGGGTGAGAGAGGCAGTTCCTGCTGGCTGAAGCCCATCCCTTCCCATTCCCTGTGTACTGGATGTTCTCTGTAGAGCCCAGCCTCTTGGGCAGACTTGAATGCCTTCAGATAGTCTTTGGTTTGCTCCCTGGTCCGGTGATTCTATCAGGTGTTGGAAGGGCTACATTCATCAGTTGTTGCTGGCCAGCACCCTGGAGCCTCATTTGCTGCGTTGTGAGGCTGGGGTGCCTTGTGGATGTTTCTGTTCCTGCTGTTTCACCTGCTGGACAATTTCCCTGATCTTGCGCTGTGCGGTCTGTAGTAGGGAGAAAGACAGAGTACTTGTTGGTTTAAAAAAGGAGGAAAATGGAAAGCTGTCTCTATATAATTGATTAGGATGCGTATATGAGTCCTCCTCCTCTTGAAAGCCGTAAAACAATGGATGGCCTATGTGCTGTGTTAGGAAAACGCTGACACAATCACATTTGAGAATCTTGCAAGATTCCTGCCATTTTTTAGTTTAGACTTGAAACATTATTTAAAGGGCTGGAGAATTACAAATGCCTTACTGAGAAGTTTATTCTCAAGCTACTTCCCTAAACATCAACGTAAACCATCCGTATTTGCAAACTATTTTGGGATTATTATTATTATTTTTTTGTAAATGAGAAGCAGTATATATGTAACTACTTTTCAGGAATAAATGCAGAACAAAAGGCAATGTATGAAGAACTGTATGAACATGATGGAACAAAGTTTCCAAAGGGAATAGCCAATTGCAATTAGCAGAAGTGTCTGTGTAGCATTTTCAAGAGTGGGGTAGAGGATATTGATGGAGATGGGCATGGCTGCTTCCACCTTTCTGACTGCATGCACCTAAACCTGGGAGTATGCATTTCCATAACTTCCAAATAGCAGTTTGAAGACTAATAGCTACTTATTGAACAAATAATTTTGTAGTACTACTGCACCTGACTGGCAAAGAAGTGACCAATTATTTTGACGACGACTTCTTCATTTTCATCAGGAGTTTGGTCACGTGGTACAATTACTTCTGCACTAGTTAAGTTCTGTAGTTCGTTCACCTATAACAGTAAGTATACAGAAAAAGTTCTAATGATGTATATAGTCAAACTAACAAAGTGCAGAGGATCCCATTTGCTTTGGATGTCAAACGAAGAGCAATTTTTGCTTAAAGCTACTTTCCTTGAATGTATGATGTTGCCCCACTTACCGTTTTCCCACCTTTCCCTATCACACGACCTGCTGCAGAAGAAGGCACCTTGATGTGGGCTTCAAGCTTCACTTCTTCTTTTGGATTGAAAAAGTTTTCTTCTTTCAGTTTTCCAAATATCCGTCCTTGGGCCTAAGATAGAAAATAGGTCAACGGAGTCTCTTTATTTTGGTCATCAATCAGCAAAAGAAAGCTTTGAAGAAAAAAATTGAAATCTAATTTGTAATATATATTCATGATCCAAAGTGCCCATTTTGTATTTCATGGAAAAACAATGGAGTTTTTGAGTGATAGCTGATAAAGAGCTTGAACCTATTTAACATAATGGGTATTGGGTCCTGTGTTCAGGGTTCACCCAGCCTGAGTGCAAGACCAAATTTAGCTGCAGTAACAAAGGAAAAGAGGACTTGTCGCTCCTAAAAACCAGCTTGATTTAGAAAAAACAGTCATATTTAGAAAACAGGACACAGACCAGCTATTCTATTCTTATCAGTTAGAAATGTTATAGTCCCTTCATCAAACAGCTTATAACAAGAAACAATATCGTCTAGAATTTAAAAGCACTGAGATGTCTGTTCTATTTTGCAACTTAAATGGTAGTGAAATTATGTGTGTTTGTAAAGTTTGAAAAAAAGTTGTTGGCTGGAATTACATCCTGGGGCCTTTTCACACATGGCGCAGGCACTCCAGATTTCCAAAAGAAGATCTCTCTCCTTGGAGCTGCAACCAATGTTGAATCCATGGCAGGTGATTGCTTTTTTTCATATTTACACTGAAATAATCCCATTGGTCTATTTTTCCCCCTTTTCTGGCATACAATTTGTATTTGTTCTAATTGCAGCAAAAAATGAAACGCTTTCTAGCATTATGAGATTGAGGTAGCAATCCAATGAACACATACCTGGAATAATCTGAGTAAACACAGTGAGATTTACTTAGCAGTGGGACTTACTTATGAAAAACTGTATGCAAAACAATAAGCACTCTCTGAAAATGGAGAAACCATGTGAATAAGAGCAAAGAATGAGTGGAGCCATTAATCTGGATACTCTGCATGCCTGTGGGTGTGCTCTTTTTTATTTTTCTACTATTTTTATGGTATTTAAAGCTATGGCTGTGAGGATTGCCTAAGTCCATATCCCTGTAACCATGGGGTAAGCAGCAGTACAACTGGCCAGTTGCTTGGTCTTGCTAACGTATGTCATGCCTCTTCTCTTGAACAGCTGCTGCCGGCATCATTTCAGTAGCTGTAACAAAGAAGCAGGCAGTTTCTTGCTTTTCATGATATCTTCTATATACTATTAAAACTCTCATCGGGTTTATCTGCTTGTTTGTTTGTACCCTCAAGTGAGCCCAAATGGTGCATTATACCACAACAATTTTTGAATCAAGGTACCTAAAATTAAAGAATGCGTAAAAAATTCAGGACCCACTACTCCTGCAGAATTGAAATTTCCACAATGTTCAGACCAGTTTTATTCACAAAGTTGTGACCGTTGGAGCATCTCCGTGGTCACGTGATCGTGATTTCTGACATTCCCTGCCAGCTTCCCACAAGCAAAGTCAATTGGGAAGCTGGCAGGAAGTTGGAAGTTGCTCCCGCTCCCACTGCTTTTTTGCCCGCCTATGGTCATTCTGTTTATCTGTTTAGGTAAGTAAATACTGACTTTTTACAGAAGTTTTATTGAAGACACTACAATTATTTTTCTATTTATAATACATACTCTTCTTAGATCACGGGACTGTCCAGCACTGGGGTAAAAAAAATACGGTCAGTTTAAAATTTAATGTTAATTCTGGTCACATCAGACTGCACTATCTTCCTCTCAAAGGATGACCCAACGGGTCACAGGGTTGTCTAGTAGGCTTATTAATACTGACCTTGAATTGTGCTTCTGGAGGCCCTGTAATGATAACCATCCTCTCACTGGCATCTGGACTTTCAGCTGGTGCAATCTGCAAATTACAGAGAACACAACAATGTATAGCAGATTTATTTTTCCCTCGACTTCCAATGTCTCTCAATGTATGACAAGAACTAATGAAGCAGCTCTCAAGTTCAAAGCGCATTGTTGTGGATTCCACTACGCTGAAAGCTTACTGGCTATTACTAAAACTGTGGACTGGTTCTTGCATACATCTCTGGAATCTTTACTGTATCTAGTTTTTTAAAAATGCAAATTTTTGTTGTGTTTGATTTTGGGTAGCAATTTCAACTACAAAAGAAGTGCAACTGAAAAACTGTTCTTCACTTTCAACAACACAGATTCTGCCTCAGCATGACAAACAGTAGTCCTTCCTTCAAAGATGGAGCCTCTTGCTCAAAATAAGGGGAAAAAAGTTCCATACTTCCTTCACTGGTGATAAAATATTGCTGCAATTAACCTAAGACAGCTTTCCCCAACAGTTATATATTTTAGACTGCAATTAAGATCCTAGCCATTACTGTGGGGGATGATGGAATTATAATCCTACATATCCGAATAATGCCAGTGGAAGGTGGTCAGCCTAAGAGAACAATGAAATGGGAGAGAGACCATTTTGCAGAGGGCAAAATATTTCACATCAAGACACCACCCTTTTTGAGTTCAGCACAAGCCTCCAATTCTTTCTTAAGGAGAATGTCTAATTTCTCCATTTTCACCACAGGAATGAGCTTCAGAGTGAGAAACCTATTAAAAACATAATTACTTCCTAAATTAGCAATTGTTCTACACAGGATATAACCAGATATGTTCAGCAGTAGTTTAGGTGCATCATAGGCTACAACCTAAATATATCAGGAGTCTAATTCATGGTGATTCATTCACAGATTGCTCTGACTGGCTAAACATTACCCAAATCTGATTTGCTCATGTAATGTAGGGCAAGTCAGGCACACTCATCAGACAGTTCCAGAAGTAACTTGAGTCAGTCTCTCATAATGAATCATTCCGCAAATATACCTGCTTTCCTGTATACTCATCCAGCTGTCTTTTCTAAATCAGCCTACATCATTTGAATGTTGGGAGAAAATGACTGCCTTCTAAAGAGATGTCTGTAGCTAAGATCTGCAGTTACCTCTCCAGAGAGGAATTCTCTTTCCCCACAAATCTTTTCCCTTATTCACTGGTGCATCTTTGTTTGCAGTGGTCAGTAATTTACATTGCCCAAAGGATGGGTAGGAAGCAACTGTAGTTCATAAAAATGAATGAAAATAAGGGTTTCATGTTTTGGTGTCAGTAAGGTATAAAACTGATAGTTAACCTGTGGATTACATGTCATTCTTAGCTGCCATTGTTCAGTCTACCAATCAGCTATTTCATGGGCTGCCTGGGAGTGCTATCAATTTTGGTAAAGGAGCTTTCTCAGAATAGTAAGTATACTCTATATGGAAGCCCACTGAACAACTGACTGAAAGGATTTTGGAAAGTGCTACTGTATTGAGACAGCTATTGGGAGAAAATTACTTCTCTTGCTGCAATACTGCCTACTGTCAGCAGTCTACTGACCTTAGAAGGAATGCAAAGAAGGAAGGATGTGTGAGGTGTATATGAAGTAAATCTTCCCTGCTTTTGTAGCAACCTTGCTTACAATCTAGCAGAAAGGTATGTGTGTATGCATATGTGTGTGTTTTGGAAAGAAAGAAAAAGGCAACAAGCTGTTACGGGAATGCCCAAAGACCACAAAGAAATGGAGAGATGGAGCAAGTGATTTGGTCTTCTTTGTATAGTAGGCCTGGGGGAAGGTTGCAGAACTGATGGTCAAGTCCCACCTAAGAGATTGCCAGCCAAGTGTAATTAATGTCCTTACTTAACTCTAAGAAGGGATAGGATTTGTAGAAATAGCTATACATATATAAAGGTAGACTTTACCAGAAGTTTTACTTTGCCAGTAGAGAAATAGTTAAATATGAAATGCTTGAAAAGGTATACATAACTCAGTTTCATTACCAGCTTATCACAAAAGCTGCAAGAAGGCAGTAGAATGGGAAAAACCAGCAGATTTGGTTGTTTAAAGTGATTACTGCTTGACTTAAAGAAAGTTGCATTGCTGAAAAAAATGTTTCTTAATTTGTTTATGTTACAGCAAAAAACAAAAGTTTGCAGAAAAGTTTTTGTGGCTGAGTGCTCCAAACTTCATGACAGTATCACAAATAATCCTGGACTGGATAGGTTTTCAGTATAATGTAATTTCATATAACTGAACAATTTTTTCTTATATTCTTAGAGAGGAGAAATGTGCTTGCAGGCACATACACGTAGCCCCAGTACCTCATGCAGTCCTTGTTCCCCAAAGATTGCCCACCTCTTTATAAACCAGCACTGAACTGGGTTTTTGCAACTCCCAGTTACTATTACTAGTCATGCTGGCTGGGGATGCTAGAAGTTGCAGTTCTTCAACATTTGAAGGTCAACAAATTCCTTAACTAGTTCATTATTTTTATTTTTTTTAGTTTATATCCTGCCTTTTCTCCAGTGCTGAAGACAGCTTACATGGGGATCTTCATTTTATCCCCACAATAACAACCCTGTGAGGTAGGTTAGGCTGAGGAAGAACGACTGCCCAGGAGCTTCCTTGGCTGAGGGTGGATTTGAACCCCAATCCTAGTCCAGTACCCTCACTTTTTGACCCAAGTTCTACAGCACTTTGTTTCTTGTGATGGGAAATATACAAAGAAGGTGATTGTACCAATCACATATCTTACCTTGATTGAAGCACCTGCAAATCTTGCTAGCTGCTTAATGTGTTGACCCTTTTTTCCAATAATGGCACCTACTGCCTGCGTTGGGATGAACAAATTCACCACCTCTTGCTCTGGCAACTGTGGATAACAAAATGAGACACAATGTATCTTGGGAGAAGACATGGGGTTGATGATGATCTTTGCCTCCCAAGGTGTGCTGTCTTGTACACTTGAAATGACTTGCATGCAGAAATGGAGAAAAAGAGGAAGAAAAGCCAGCTTGTTAATATCAAATACTACTGGAGAAAAAGCAAATGCTTAGTTGAGCTTCAGCCCTACTTCACCCTGAAGGAAATCACATAGGTGAGGGGAAGAAAAGAGAAAAAGAGTATAATATGGTCCCTGTATTCCTTTATCTATAATTCAAATTTCTGTTACTGCAATGAATAATCACACAGCACATAGGATGTTGTAAGAAACAGGCTCTCACGATACATTCATGACTCTTTAAATTACTACTATACAAGGTTCTACACTTATTCCCTAACACATATTAGAATCATTTCATGTATAAATATGTACTAAACTCTCTTTTACCATTCTAATTATTGACAGACTATAACAGAATAGTACTTCATTAAAGGGTAGCCAATTCACATTACATATTCCTGACCATCTTAATCATCTTGAACCACATAAAACAATACCACATTAGCTTTTACCCATAGGGCAGGAGAAAGAAGAAGATGATCAACTGAAAAACTGGAAGATTTGCAGTACGTAGACCTCATTCATCAACTGTCTTGGGCAGCAACCATTTGAAGTTACGACGGTGATGAAAAATAACTTTGCAACCAATGCCTGCATTTACAACCTTCACAGTGTCTTTGTCACGTGTTCACTATCGCAGTCAGTCAGTATGTGTTGTCCTGTGCCTTTTTCTTCCCACACTCACAGAGCGAAGAGATTGTGTACACAAGCTATCTCTTCCTGAGCTGCGTTTCCCCACCGTGCAACACTTCCCCCCGCTGTGCAGTACTTCTCCAAAAGGTGCTAACTGCAAGTTAACGAGCTCAGTTCTGTGACTTTAATTAGCCACCTGGCAGCTGCTGCCTGTAACTGACAAGATGTGAATCACTTTCCCACCTTCCGCTTTTGTTGGCCTCCTAAGTGGGGAATTGCAGCCGCAAGCATGCTAGACAAACAGCCAGCACTAGCACATTTATTTCAATGTGTATTCCCCATTGTGTGTCTGCATATTCTCTTTTAATTCCTTCCTCTCCAATGAATGTAAATACGAACAATAATTATCTTCTTGCTAATTATCCCAGCACCAGTGGTAACCATTCCAAAGGGTGGGGGAGTGGGGAAAAAGGGCTATTAGATTTGCCCTTTTACCCGGATTCCTCGTGAGTCAAGTTCCAGAAATCTTCCCTGCCATTTGGGCTCACCCAGATGATTGGGGTTGTATCCTTTTGCCACTGTAAAGCAAAGAAAAGCTGAAGTAGAATCATAAGCGCAATCAGTCACATGATTTTCCACTTAGCAACTGCGTCACTTGGTGACTGAGTTGCCAGTCTCAATTGTAGTCACTAAGGAAGGGCTACCTGTAGTTCACTTTCCTACTCTCAATGGTTAACAACAACAACAAAAATGCCCTCTTTGCCCTTTAAATTAAGCTTCTCAAATTAAGAAAGCTTGAAGTAAGAGAGAAGATTTGGATGTCAAATGATTTGAATGAGGCAGATCTAGTTCTGATTCAGGTGACAAATTCTGGGACTGAGGCATTTGTTCTAATAGGCTTCATTTTCCAAAACTATTTCCACTTTCTTAGCTGCAGTTGTGGATCTGGATCAAACCGTTGGATCTTGCAGTACTAATGAAAAACAAAGCAGAAACTATAAACCTAAAACAGCTTCTTCATACCATCACATAATTCATAGTGAGCATAAGTATAATGGTTTGAAGTAAAGGGGACTGCAAGTTAATTTCCCATTTATTTAATTTTAATGAAAAGAACCTTAAAAAAAAAAAAAGCTGGGGCAAGGAGCCAGGTGGGCAGCAAGGGAGATATCACTGGGTACATTGGTGCCTGTGAGGTTCACACAGGGGACTAGCCTCTAGTGGTTTCTTTCAAACCATTATGCTTTGAACAGCTTATAGCTTCCTTTTCCACATCTGTCTTTATCCCACTAAAGACTTGTTATGGGTAGGTATGTGTAAAACAATATTCATTCTTACTGTTGGTAAGTCATCATCTTTAATCTTGCACATGTGCAGAAGTTATGTTTACTCTTAAGCACAACAGAAAGATAATCGAGATCCCCCTTGAGCACACGTCTTGGAGAGCTAAAATTCGAAGACTATACTTTTCACCTCCACCCCAGAAAAATGGAATCACAGGAAGAAAGCAGCAAACACTAAAGATACATGACCAAAAAAAAAACAGGTAACCTGGTGTTTCAAAGGCTCTTGAAGACTTGACTCCTTGCCCAGGCCTTTGGTGAGGGTGATTGGAGGCCCCTTTGGGGTGTGGGTGTGTTTGTGTTCTTCTCCAACTGCCATCTTTTATTCCTTCTTCTGGTCTATTATATTATTTTACCAGCTGATTTGATCTTGCAGGACTGGCTTGCTCCAGGTTCCTTCAATTAAACAATGCCATATGTCGGGACCCTGGAAGTGCCCCTTCTCTATCACAGTGCTTGTCCTCTAGAATGAGGTTCCCCCCAAGATCCAGATGGCTCCACTATGCTGTTGTTGAGAAGAGCAGTGAAGACCTGGCTCTTCACCCAGGCCTTCGGCGAGGGACAGTGAGACCCCTTACTTCATCGCACTTGCCATCTTTTATCTTTTACTGATTTTATTGTAATTTCTTTGTTGATTGCTGTGAGCCACCCAGAATCGTTGGGAGTGGGGCATACAAGCGCAATAAATAATAATAATAATAATAATAATAATAATAATAATAATAATAATTATTATTATTATTATTATTATTATTATTCCTTTTAATGTTATTTACTTGTGAACCACCCAGAGTCATTGGGAATCAGGCGGTATACAAATTTAAATAATAATAACTTTCTCCAGTCACTGAGAGTTATGAATACTAGGTATTTTGCCAGGCAATTACTGAAACAATCTGAAACCCACTAAAATCAACAGGACTTAAAGAACCCAGAAAATGTATTTAAATGCATAAAACAAAATACATAGATATAAATTACTTTACAACAAAAACCAATTATGCTCAGATATCAAAATATTAAAGAATAATTCAAGCAATTTTAGATAGTTAGATTTAGTGAAGTCAACAAATATTTTTGGAGTTCTAGAGTTTTGGAGGTAAATTATTACCTACATTCATTATGGAATGAAAAACTAAATTTCAGTCAGAGAGTAGTGAAAATGAAGTTGTAATTTTTCCCATCTAAGTTTACAGACTCTTGGAATCTGTCCCATGGACCATAGGTCAAGAACCCCTGTTCTGCAGGATAACATCAAGCACTGACAGTGAGGACTTGGCTCCTCTACTTTTCCTATATACCTTCACTTGGTTTGGAGAAAATCCTTTGAATTCCAATTCCTTCTATAATAGAAATGCATATTCAGAGATGTCAGCTTGTAAAGAATCACTAAAATAATTTTCTAGTTTACATTAGGACAAAAGAACTGAACTGTAATTAAGCAAAAAAATCCCCCCCCACACACACACACACAGTGGAAAGACTGATAATTCACAGCTCTACAACTTTATGAAGAACTGAATATACAACCAGTGGTCTTAGAACCCCACTCCCAGATCAGTGTATGCAGTTTTATCTTAATCTTATGTCCCCCAAGGATTGTCAGAACTAAAGATGAAAGGTATAGCAATGCACAAAACTAGGACAGGAAGGGAAAATTTGCCATTCTTAAATGTCATTTCTCAAGAACTGGCAAAGCTTTCAATGGATTTATTTAGCAAGGAAAGGTAATAAACAGCCCTCCAGATTGTTGCTGACCTCCAATTCCCATCAGTCTTAGCCAACACTGCCAATAGTAACAGCTGATGAGAATTAAAATTCCAAAAAAATCTGAAGGAACACACATTGTCCACTTCCATTATAGAGCAAGAGGGATCAAGCTAGCATTATGGATATGAATTCTATGCAATAACTCAATCATATCAAGTGAAGCTTTCTGAAGCTCAGAGATTTAGCTCTTGATCTCTGCAGTTGTGGCAAAGCTTCTGCCTGTGAAGTGCCAAGCTGGGATGGGCCATAATCACATAGTAGTGCGCATATGGAAAGATACATGTATGGCCCTATTTATTCAATGGACTGAAGACCTGATTGCACTTGCTACTTACGAGCAGATTGCCTATAGATGTAGACTTTTTATGGACAAGTATAATGAAATATGGGACTCATTTATACATACAGTAGATGAAAAAAAAACCCATGATAGTCATATAAATGTATTAGAAATATATATCTACTTGAATAATATTTCAGTTAGATAAGTATATATAGAATTGTAATTGTTTACTGTCAAAATGACATATTAGCATGTTTTTTTCTCTTTGTTGTATTTCTTTCACTTTTTTGTTAAAACACTTTTCATGTGTTTTTTTCTTCTTCTCCACTTTTTGACCATGTATGTATCTCCATATTATTACTTTGTAGTTTGTTCTTTCTCTTTTTTTTCTTTTGTTAATCAAAAAGCGATAAAAAATAAAAAAGTAGTGGTGTGCATAATATAACATGCAGAAAGTCCCAGTTTCAATCCCTGCCATGGCCCATTAATAAAATGGGTCTCATAAAAATTTTTAGCGACCTTGGAGAGCCACTGCCAATTGAAGTAGGTAACACTGATTAAGGCCAATAGCTGACAGTATAAGGCAGCTTTATATGTTTGTGGTATGGCAAACTGCTTCTGAGACATGATAAATAGTGCTTTGCTAGCAACTGTCCTGAGGCAAATTGTATTCATAAGCTATTATGAGACCACTGCACTTCTATACCTGGTCTTGACTGGTGAGGTGCCCACTGAACACAAGGTGCTGCAGTGGGTGTAGATACTTCCAGCACTGTAAGCAAAATGTGTGAAGCAAATACTACATGCAAGGACAGAGAAGATCTGCTTGGTGGCTTTATCACACAGCTGGGTCACTTCACTAATAGGACTGAATGAAGCAAAGTTTAGAAAACTGCTCCAGTGCAGAATCATCTGAAGGCAGCCTAAAAGCCTGCAAAGCAAAAGGCGGGCATGATACAAAGCAAGGTGCATGAAAGGGCGGCATCCAGACAGAAGACGGTAACGCACTTACGGAGTGCAGATGGGGATATGTGCCAGTCAGCGAGGCTCCATTAAGGCCCGAAATGTACGCTGCTTGGCTCTATGGCAGGAAAGAAAGTGACAATCAGTGGGGACAGGCCAGAAGCTAAGGGTTTAAGTACCAGGAAAGTGTGTGCCAGAGTGTTTTTGGAAAGATATTGGACAGAATCCCAAATACCCCTCATTCCTATTCCTCTACCATCTTGCAAAAAAGTCTTTTTGTATCTTATATGACTGGCCTATCACAAGCTGAGCTTCCTCAATAACATCCCCAGAACTCTGTACTATCTCCTTTCTATTTTATTCCTGAAACCGTCCAAAAGATTATGTAGTTCTGATTTTTATAAACTGTTGATTAGGGTCTGTTAAATGGCTTCTATTGTTTCATATATAGCTTTATTTTTATAATTCCATATTTGTACTGCTTTACTGCTTCATTGACTTTTCTATGTAATTTTAGCCATTACTGTCATTAACTGTGAAACATTGTATAATCTTTTAATGAACTTTGGTATTGAAGAATTTTAAAATTAAATAACATATGAATCAGTCTTATGCTGAATCAGACCACTGGCCCATCTAGATCAGTGGTAGCAGTAGCTCTCCAAGATCTGTCCGAGATCCCTTTTTCACTGGGGATGCCCTGGAATCTTACACATATGAAGCATGTGCTCTACCACTGAGCAACTGGATCATTCCCTGCATATAGTTTGAAGGCCAGTACAAGATCCAGAAAGGAACATGTGAGAACCAGAAATGGACAATGAAAGTCACACTTCTTCGCATGGCATTGTATACTGGTAACCAAATAAGGATACACCTCTTCCACAAATGTTGTGACAGATCTATAAAGAAGAGTTTATATGTTTTATTTTCAAAATTAGCTTCATGCAAAATAAACAAGTATTCAGCAAACCTTCTTCTACAAATAAATCCACACTCAAAAGACTCTCAGTCACAAAAGGAAAATTCCCCAGTGATACTTGGTTTCCAAAGAGAGGCACTAAGGATGGCCAACAAATATGGATATAGGCGTTTTATCCTCGTTTGAAAGTTCCCCTTCACTAAACTGAAAGCAACCTGAGGGATGAGCCTCTAATACTGTCATCTATGAAAACCTTACTTCTATGTTGCTGCTACTGAACTTGCCGTTTCTCTCCAGCTGTTGTATACTATCTTTACAATTGTGTAAATACAGTATACAGTACAAAGCCTGTAATCTGACATTTTCCTCACACATTAAAATGTGTCCATACACAAAGCCAAAGACAGGGGGGAAAGCCTAATAAAACCCTTACTTCCTAAAAAGAAGAATGCAGGCCAGGATATCAGCAAGCAGCCTCAGCAGTTGAGACTCCTTATAGGAGAGGTTTCAGGGCAGACAGGCACCCTTCCAAATAAAGCACTGAGGCGCAGCTGCCCATCATTTTCATTTTCTAGGACTGCCTATGGGGCCCTTCTGAATTCCTGGAAACAAAGATGATACTGAGCCTGATGTCTGTTTTATAGCATGCTAGATTAGAGCATTTTTAAATGTATGTATGTGTGCATGCATCCAGGGGCAGGGCACTTGGCAGTCTTCAAGGTACAGGTCTGCATACCTACTGGCAACTTGGGAACCATGTTGTGGACTCCAGGGTATACCTACAGGTGGACGTGTGTGTGTACTTACAGCAAAAGGGTTGTAGGGAGCAGTAACAGCAGGTCTACGGGCTGCAGCTCCTGAGGGAAGCATGGATAAACCTGTTGAGAAGATGCCCAATGCATTGAGATTAAGTCCAGGGATGAGATTGGCTTGTTGCTAGAAAGAAACACAAAGAAAAATGGGATGAACAAAGCAATCTGAGGGAGAGGGAAAACAGATTAGGTCACAGGGCTTTTATTTCACAAGTAAGTTCTGGGGCATCTGGTGTTCACTACTCTCTTTTCTAGACTCCCTGTATGACTTACAATTGTTTGGTTGTAAGAGAGAAACACATACACACTAAAATAGGAACTTACATTGATTGCTACCACGTCATTCTCATAGGCTTCCCGCAGTTTGTTCATTATCTCTACTTCAGCATTGGTACAGGCCTCAATTGTACCCTTCACGGTGATGGTTCTTTCAGGGTTATAAATTGTTAAATCCTGCAAACTGAACAACCACAAAATAACAGATGAATATCCTTTCAATACAAATAAATCCTAGGATTTATAACCAGCAACAAAATGTGTTCAATAGGGGAGGATAGTCAGAATGAATCTTTGTAAATAAAATCCAAGCAGTTAAATTATATTGCTGGGTGGGTGGAACTCAACAGATTAAGAAGACAACCTATTTAGGCAGAAGGCAACAGTGAATGGAAGAGTTAATGTTGGAATCCATAAGCTACCTGTAATTTTATGAAGTGCTTCAGTTTATACATGGAGACTTTGGTGACTTTAAATTTCTGACTGCAGCACTTTGAATCACACTGGATGGTAGAGTTGTTTATGAACTGAAGACTCTGAGAAATTCCATGTGCAAAAAGACAGTCTCAGGTTCCTGGGCTGCTTATTGCATTAATACATCACTGTTCTTCTGTAAGTTGCCACCCTACTGAGGATGTGGACTTTTTTTATAGATGTACTTTGTATTACCCCCAAACCAGTAACAGTGACATAACTGTTGTGATGAAGAAGGGGAATCATTAGCACACATCTGCTGTAAAATACTTCCCACAGTAAAGAATACCACCTTATTTTTATTATTTTCAGTTATTTTAATTAGCACTACTAACTACTTCATTACAAACAGGTAAGTAGACAGGTTGGTAAATGGGTGGATGGAGACAGAGATGACAGACAGGCAGGAAGACAATGAGGGCAGGCCCTCATCCTTACAAATAAATTAGTACTAAAGAACACAGTGCTATTATGTTTCTTCATTTAAGTGATATTTCCCTCTTTCACTCATTCTTCCCAGCCACATACACATGTGGTATTTTACTGATATCTTATTTATTTATTAAACAAATTTATATAGCTGCCCATCTATCAAAAGGACTCTGGGTGGCAAACAGAGTTAAAAATGTCATGCAAATTTACAAGTCAATTAAATATTAGTACTATAAAACGACAATGTTTCTGCCTCTGGATAAGGGTTCAGTGAAATCCAGATGTCTCTCTCACAACTAAGCTAAGACAGTATGTGAGTTCTGCTTAGAAGGAGGGTCAGCAGGCTATGGATATAAAATGCACCATGCACCAGACTAAGAAGTAAGAGTCCTGCCCAGCTTTTCCCAACCAAGTGCCCCCTAAAAATGCTGGACTACAGCTCCCATCCTCCCCAGCTAACACAGTCATTTGATGTCCTGCATGGGGAGAATGGGTGTTAAAAGTCCAACGTACCTGCAGGGTGTTAGGTTGGGGAAGGCTGGTCTTGCCTGATGGCAGCAACATTCACTGGTACTCACGGAGAAATAGTGATCTTGGTCCCCGTATCTTGCTCAATTTTCTTCAAGTTTCTTCCTTCTTTGCCAATCAATCTTCCAACCAAGCTGTTGTGTGCTAAGATTTTCAAAGGAATCTCTTCAGCCCTGAGGAATGTGAAAGACATACTGAAAATCATAAAAACATAGGGAGATGCAGTTCCAAAGATTTTCCTACTAGACTCTGGAAAAAACAGTGCTGGATATTCTACTGTCACCACCTCCAAACACTGTAATCCAAGGAAGGGGAACCTACTGTCAGGCTTCACTCCTAGGCATGAAAAATCCATTTTCCAGAAACTGCCCTGTGTATTTTGCAATTAGTTAACAGCAGAATAGTATCAATAAGCAATTTTATTGCAAGAAAGAAAGAAGTCATATTGTTGGGAAGCAGGAGGCTGTCTGAGGTGGTCCTTAAAAATTAATGGAGATGTGTTCTTCTAGGGAGTTATAGATATACCTCATGGTATTAATCCAACCCACAAACGTTTTCCTGATGTGGAACTCTTCTGTTTATTCTCATAATATGAGTCAGTGGAACACAGGGAGAATACAGAAGGTTCAATGAATGGTACACAGTTTAGAAACAAAGTGTAACATAATGGGATTTACTGTTCAACTTAAGTTAGCATTTCTCTATAGTAAATAAAGTAACAAGCTTGTAGTTGATACAACAATGTTTCAATGTGGACACATATCTTTACTCTTTAGAGCAGGGCTTCTCAACCTTGGCAACTTGAAGATGTGCGGACTTCCAACTCCCAGGATTCCCTCACTAGCATGTTGGCTGGGGAATCCTGGGAGTTGAAGTCCACGCATCTTAAAGTTGCCAAGGTTGAGAAACCCTGCCTTAGAGATACCTTTATCATGGTCTTACAAAAGATATTCAGGTCTTGCTTTGCATTTGTTCAGGTCTACTTTGCTTATGGTTACAACTTGCCAAACTATATACTTGGCTCCCATTAACTTCTTCTTCTGTTACTAGCTCTAGTCTTCTTAGCTGAAGTTATTTTAATCAATTAATCGATTAATCAATCAATCAATTAATCAACTGAAAAGATTTATATAGCTGCCCCTCTTATGCAACATAACCCTGGACAGCCTACAAGCGACAGTAAAATCAATAAAAATAGTAAAAACAAACAAACATAAAAACCTACATAAAACTCCTGGCACCCCCAAATACAACACATCCCCACAGAGTGTTACTGGGCTCCATCCTCATACTACCGCAGTGCTTGTGGAAAAGCCAAGTCTTCAAGGCTTTGTGGAAGGGTACTTTCTAGGGGCCTGATGGTATTGCAAAGAGTAGAGGCTGCTACCAAAGGCACACTGCCTAGGTCCTGCTAGATGGCAACACTGATCACTTTGACTACTAATAAAATTTACTTCAGTCATGACCCAGACCTTCACTCTGACATGTCTTTCTATCCAAACCTCCCGATTCCTTCTTTTCTGGCTGACAGATGGAGACTACCTATTCCTTATCCCTCTTTGTTTTATTCCCCTCCTTCAGGAAACCAGCTGAGAGATCGTGTTTTGGTTTAACGTTATTTGAGATATATCTCATCTATTTACACAGAAGACCAGCCTACAACAATTAATGCATGTGTGTAGGGGGGAGGGGGACTGGGTACATACATAGACATACACACCCACATGCATGAACCAGGCTTTTTTCTCTCACTTTTCTGAGTTAATTAATTTTGTCTGGGCTGAGAATTGTAGCTTCCCACCTTGCTAGCTTCACCCCTTATATTTATGCCTCCCAAATGTTGTTGAACTACACCTCCCAATGATTTCTGCAACCATGGCCAATGCTGAGGGGTGCTGGGAGCTGAAATTCATTATCTACAGCTTTATGAAGAGAAGATGGGACATTTTTCTCCAGCTGCAAAAGCCAAAACTAAACTGCGAAAAACATTTATCTAACAGTAGGTAGTGATGTGAATAAAAGCATCCATCATTGCACAACATACTATATAACCCACTACAGTCACAAATCACATTCTTGTCTAAGCCCAGCCACAGAAACTCATTGGGTGAATTTGGATCAGTCTACTATCTCAGCACAACCAACCTTGTGGCGAAAAAAAAACTTCTTAAGCTCCTGAAGGACATAAATCTAACTAATAAATAAATTTCTAAGAGATGACCTTTCCCTAATCAAATCTTCCTGCCCAAGGTCCCAATTTACAAGGAGGTACAACAGCAGGGGACTGAAGGAGGACTGTTTCTGTAGGGATTCCCCTCCTATGGAACAACTTACTTCCCAGGGTGAGGAGGGCCCCCATTCTTAGGCCCTGCTGGAAAGCCAGAAAGAATGAGCTTTTCTGGAGGACCTTTCAGAATTGATTTCAGAGCCATCAGTGTAAGCTTTACTTTTTAGTATAGTTAAATGTTATATATCATCATCATCATCACATTTTATTACATATATAGTAAACTTCCTAGAGTCCAGTTGGATTGAGGCAGTGTATAAATTTCATAAATAAATACACTTATAGCCATGTATTAGTACATCAAATCAAATAGTGCTAGAAATGCAGAATAAGAAAAAGTGTGTGACTTCTCAAATATCTACAATGAATCCAGAGTACTAAAATCAAAAATGGCCAAAAAGATGAGGGAAGGGAAGAGAGAGGTAACATATTACAAAGACAATTTTATTTAATTGCTTTACAGTGATACACTGATGGCAATTTCCACATAACCAGAAGTCCTCTGATCCAACAAGGCCTCTCCCATTGCATGAACTGTGTGTATGTATAACAGATACACAAAAGAGCCTTTTCAGCTAACCATGGATGAAAGCCTTCACTGTTTAACCAATCTGTGTGCATGCATCTATAAATGCATGCAAGCACATGTGTATTAATTACCTCACATAGATGCCATCCTTCCCAGCACCAATATACTGTGACAGAGAGTGACTTCTCCTACCTTAAGTACCCTGACTGCCAGTGGTTTCTAGTTTTATGCTATTCATGCTTCCAAAATAATTTAATTTAAAATGCCGGGGATTTAAACCTCATGCTTTATAGCAAACAAATTTCCAGGATAGATGGAGCATTACGAATGGCAAGCCAGATCATCCTCCTCAATAAGCAAAGAAATATCAATTTATTAACTGTCAAATATACGCTAACCAAAATCTTTGCGTATACAAAAAATTGTATTCCCCTTTGTGGTTAATTCTAGGCTGCATTTTTTCTGGTTTTCTTCAGAGCTTTTACTCCTCCTGTGCCTAAGTATTCCCAAAGACTATCCAGTAAGACTACAGAGCAGGAATGGAAAAGTCAGCCTGTATTCCTTAAAGCTTTTTGTATGTAGCTTTGGTAATTGGTTTCATATAAATGTTGTTTGTTATTTATAGTACTAGAGGTCTCCTTCCTCTTGAATATTTTTTTAAAAGAAAACCTTGTTTCATTTCCTACTTTCCTGGTCAGTACTAGAACTACTTACGATTTTGTTTCTTCAGCCTCCTTCTGCATAATATCAAGTATCATGCGACACGCTTCCGAACACCCTTCAGGGGTGGCATGAATGGTTATTGGTTTTTCTGCAGCACCAGCATTTTCTTTCCGATGAATGTCTATCCTGCAGCAACAGAATGCACACAAAGAAATCTGCCAGGGATCAGAAGAAGGTGCCTAAGTTGATATCTTGATAAAACAGCCAAATAAAAGAAATAGTATTACAAGGATACACAAAACGATTAACTCATCTTCAAGGCTAATGCAAGAGAAGCATTAGGATTTAGGAATCAAATAGACCTGGTTCACATGTTATTCCAAAACCATTGCTTTGGTAATGATGTGAGTTCATGTGCTCCTCCTCCACTCTGAATCTTTGACTTCCTGGTTCATGACAAATCGTATTTTATTGTTACATTTGAGTAGCATTTGATAGTTTGCACCTGTTGTCCATAGAAGCCTGCTCCTTTCTCAAGTTCTTGGGAAAGAATTTGTTTAAATGGAGCCTAGCATAAACAAAGAAGATGCAGAGAATGCACAGGTTCTTGTGTCTGAATGAGACACTCAAATATAACACTTCTACAGGAGCTGAAAGAGGATTTTCCCCTTTCTAGTGACAGCATTTATAAAAAGGACCTCTTTAAGAGATATCAGGGAAGAGATAGACTTCCCCTCTGTACTTTAATTCAAGACTAGCCAGGTCACAAGTACAGCAAGGGTCTTTTGTCCTTCCTGAGAGTCAAATGTGTGGGTGGCCATGCATTTACTGACCTTAAGAATGTTTAAGAATACATAATTGTCTGACATTAACACAATTTACATGCACTGAAAAGCCAAGCATTAATATTAATGTTGGATTGTAAGTGACCTTGCAGAAAAGGAAAAAAAGGAAGATCTTCTAAGACTTCTGAGGGGAGCCAATGCATGTAAAATGTAGAAGTGATTGTCTCCCATGGCTATGATATATTGTCATCTACTCATCATGTAGTTTAGGCAGTTCTTCTTTGCACTGCCATGCACCTCCACCAATTAAGACCTTAAGGAAACAGGCTCTGCATCAGAACAAATTGACATGAAAGAGACTGTCACACTGAGCAGTTGAAATTGGCATTCAGTCTTTTCTGAGTTGCCTTCATTTAGTACCTAGTGTCAGATATTTCATAGAGAAGAGCCCAATATTGATAGAGACAAAAGTTGAGATGTCCAGAAAAGTGACTAGTTGGTATCAATATTCTGTGGTGTCCTTACTTGTGGACTGATAAGAGAAGAGCAACAGCTTGAAAGTTTAACTTAGATTTAAAATACAAATCTGTGAGAAAATGGGAATGGAACTCATTTTCATTAAGCTCTCAGTTGTAGAACAGCTGTGGACAAACACTGGTCCTTGGAATTCATTCTGCTTTTAGGTCTTTCAAAAGCCCTCTGCAAGGACTCAATCCAGTCTTCTGGCAAGAATGATCCATCTCTCCCTCAGCAAGTTGCTAGGGAGGAGGAAAGAGAACAAAAGGAGGTTACAAAAAGAGAGAGTAAGAAAGACAGAAAGGGAGATGGAGAAATTTCTTTGAATTTGCAATCACCTTCAAGAACATCCGGCCTTCTAAACAGGTCATTTCTGATGAAATCTGGCTGACAGAGTAGCTGTGTTGAGGCTATGTACAGAAGGAATGGCCAGAAACATCCATCTACCAAGCATTTATAGTACCCTACTAGATTTACCATAGATCAGATGCAACCATTTGCATGAGGCCTAAAGATATATGGTCCAATACTTGTAAGCCCAAGCATTTCTAGGTATCATCATATAGTTTGGCTCTGCAAACACTAGACCTTCATGTTACACTGGCACTATGCAAACATATCAGAAGCATTACATTTATTCTAGAAATGGAATAAATGTCAAAAAGGGGAGAATAGGCACAATCCTGCAGTCTACTCACAGATTCCTTTTGTGAAACAGTGAAACAACAGAAAATGAATAAAAAGTCATATATACTTGTTAGCTAAAGTATCATTCACAGTATTTTTGAGGAAAATAATTACCTAAGAGAATCATTTAAAATTTCAGCTCTAATCTGAACAGTACTATATACATAACCAATTGAGTCTGAGATATCAAGCATCACAGAATACAGTGATAGTAATTCCTCCTTGCTTCTCCTTTAAGGGTAGCCTTGAAATATTAAGTAAATAAATGGCATTCTTATTTCATACAGGTTGACATACAGTTTGCCTTCAATGATATGCCCAGCATCATAATGCAAGATGTCTCTAGTGGTTATGGAGTTAAATATACATAATTAATACAAATAAATAATGCCCAAGCTCTGGCATCATGCTTCCTATTTGCACTGCCGCCAATGCAACAGATCCCTGAGGATATTATTAGACTTAATTAGAGAGCTAACATTGAGATGAAGGATCACGTAGTAATTCCACAATAATTTATATAATTATAACAAAATGGGAAACATATTTTTAATCTCCTCAGTTGGCTGAAAACATTTCTTTTTGAATAGTAGAAATCATCCAGAGGTGGCTGAAAAAGGAGCAGAAAAAATACCTGGAACGGGGAAAATGTGCTGGGTTACAGTAATATCACAGAACAGGTGAGTAGAACCTGTTCATAATTTTGAAAAACCGGATGAGTGAAGCCAACAGGATAAATGTTAACAGAACTGTAGCAACTATTAAAACATTCCTAAGAATTTGTACAAAACACATCAACAGTGAGTTAGCAGGCTTTTACACAAGACAAAGAGCTTTTGCCACATAATGCACATATGAGCTCACAGGTCAGCATTCAGTCCAAAGATCACAAGCTAGGGACATGAAGGCTACAAACAGAGCCCCTAAGGAAGGAAATTAAACCATCCATGATACTTACTTGGACTGGGTTTGCTTAGTAAGGTTCTTTATGGTCAAGCCCTCCTTTCCTATGATCGCACCAACAAATTGCGTGGGGACCAGGATCCGTAGTGGGAAATCGAGCTGTTTGGGCTGCGAGGAGCCCCCAGGGGAGGGACCCTGCTCCCTGGAAGAGTGGCCCCCACGCCGGGATCGCTGAGGGGTCTGAGGGGAGCTCACCTCGTCGTCTGGGATGTAGGAAATCTTGAAGGAATAGTTCTCAAACTGGTGACCACTAAGCTTCTCAATTGCTCTAGAAATACAAAGATAGGGGTGAGGAAAAGAATTATTACAAGAAATGTTTTTGCTTTGACATCACACCAGCCTCTGTAACAACCTTCCCTAACACGGTGGTATCCACATGTGTTGGCCCACAATCCCATCCTCCCATCTGCCACAAATAATTAAGGGAATTATAGTCTGGGGAATGCTATTTGAAAGAAAAGTATGCCAATAACATTTCTGGTTCCCTATTTGACAGTTCCTATGCTTTATTTGAATGTGCTTACTAAAACAGATGCATATGACATTCCTAATGTTGGATGGATGCATATGTCCTAATGGTTGATTTAACCTTTTGGAAATCACTAATACCACGATAAAACCCAAGAAGGAATTCTGAAATATTGAACATCCAAAATCAAATAAAAATCCAAATTATCTCAGGCTCTATATTCATTATACAAGTGAGCATATGATTGCAAAAGTAGGTATCTGTCAGGAGCCAATATTTTCTATTTACATGGCCATTTTGATGCTTAAAATTGTAACTCAGCCTTAGACATAATTTGGTTGCCATGTGTTTTGAAGGTACAGAATTGTCACATGTAGAAGAAAGTATCACAGCTCGATTGGGCATGCCCATTCCCTTGAAGAAGGGATGTGAGACCTCAAGTCTAGTCTGGATCACAGGGACTTAATGAAACTCCATTACCCCAAGTCCAAGCCTCTCGCCTCCCAAATGGAGCACTTACCTTACAAGGGAAGATAGAAGGTGGCTGAGATCAAGCATAGTTGCCTTTGGAGGCATTCTAGTTGGTCTATCACCAAGGGGCATCTATGTTTCAGTCATTCCACACTTTGCTCAAGTGGTCCATGCAGGACAATGCAGGAAGTGCAGACACCCCACTTCATACTATATGACCAATGGTAAATGCCTTCTCTATTGCACCATCTGCCCCTTGGAATACCATCCATCATGGGGTTTATCTGGTTCCCACATTGACTGTGTTTAAAAGAGCTTTGAAAACGTTTTCCCCAGACCTTGGGTTGAATGAGTGGTGGGTCCTCTGTATTTCTTGTTGTTGTTAGGATGGTTGTTTTTTCCAGACATTTGGGATTTCTTATTTGTATTATCTGTATTTTATTAGTGTTTTTATTGTAGAGTTGTTACAGGGTTGGATGGCCTTATAACTTTAATAAATAAATAAAATAAGCAGTGACGTCTCTCTGCATCTCCCTGTTCATCTTGTACAGAGAATGAAAATGGGGAGAGGGCTAGGGGAAGAACTGTTGCCTTAAGTCCCATCCCAACATCATTCTGTATGCCCAGGCAGGAAGCAGGATCCATTTTTTTATACTGGATGGCAGTTGTCCAGCCCTGTCTTAAAATGGGAAAATCTGGTAATGTTTCAGACTATCTTCAGCAGTTTGGCTCAGACACTTTCATTTCACTGGCAAAACAAAGATTCTTCTATCACCTGTTTTTAAGGATACATTAATCAAAATCTTTTTAATTTTGAAATCAAGAATAGGGACTGCAGTTTATCTCTTTCAAGACATTACATACATGCTGAAAATGCAGTGACATACCTAGGCGAGTGATTTGGTGACAGATCTCTATGTAAGACAAAAGAGGCAGAGATATGTATTGCATTTCAAAAACAAGTTTCTGCCTAGAAAATAAAAATCCTAATAAAAATGAATATTTTACTATATATTGCTTCTCATACAAGTTATTAATAATGAAAAAACATAAATAATATGCCTTGATCAGAAAGCAGGGCATGACACAGGATAAATGGTTCTACACCCCTGCTGTCTTTGAACCTGGGACCTGGTTGTCAAATCACTGGAGTAGTTAGATTTATTAAATAATTAATCAATCTCTTCCCCTCAGTCACACTGAGTGGTTTTCCATAAAGTTATCTTAAACCTATGTATTTTTATAAAGCACAGATTAACCAATTATATTTTATTAATGCCTGAGTGGCACTTGCAAGTGATTCAACAATACTGTGTTACTCAACAGGTACTATGTGAAATGATTGATTGTATTTTATGAAAACAAATATATGCTAAGAATTATTAAGAATAATCAGAAATAATTTCTGGTTTACATGTTAGTTATGATTAAGTGCAATTGAATGACTTTGTACTGAAAACTTTTTTTAATGGCAGCTGGTAGGGTTACTGATTTTTAATTATAAGGGATGGATTATTTTAGGATGTGTTATAGGTTAGATGGTAGGGTGATAATGATTTGAAGAAATTGTTAAGGATTTAGAGATATGGTATAAACAAGCAATGGCTGAAGTAACTGTGGAAATGAATGGCACTTTTTGGTGGAGTGTTTTGGAAGCTCTGAAGAAATGATGGAAGAGTTCTTTCTCTGACAGATTTACTAACCTGGAAGGTTATCTTGTCTGCTGGTTGTTAAAAAGGCTGACTGCCAGTTAAGTCAGCTCTCTGGTGTGGTGGCAAAATCAAATGAAGTTGAGGAGCTGACATATGAGCTATGCTTAGGTCTAGAATGGCAGTGGCGGCTGCAAGGGCACGATGCAATGATAGCTGCCATTGCTTCACATGGCTAGAGCTAAGGTTAGAGTTGGCACCAGTAGCCAGACAGAGGTCAGTCTGGCAGTTGAGTGGGGGCTGGATCTGACCATGAAGGCCCAGAATGTGAGGCCTTGATTCACACCTGGTTGGGAGCCACCAGTAACATCAGCATCCTAAAGTTGGTTGTATCAACTGTGGAGGAGGAGCTCAAGGGGTACGAGTTGGAATTTAGGTTTGTTTGGCTTCTCAAAAGTCTGAGGGATGTCTAACCTAGAGTAAAAGTGTGGGAGTCACCCTGAGATCTACCTTTCTGGGCTTCAGGCCTTGATAGCAAAGCTGGGGGTGGAGGTGGGGTGGGCATGTGATTTATAGAGATATCTTGCCTGCAACAAAGCATTCTCATCTTGCACTGGTAGGACATGAGCATCTCTGTGTTACGATGGGCTGTAGGGACAAGATGAGGATCCTCCTGATATAGTGGCTGCCCAGGTGCCCAAGGTGTTGTATCTAATATCAGGGCTGGTATTGAAATCCCCCAACTTTCTGTGTAAGGGGACTTTACTTTTCATGCTCTTGGATTTCAGTCTGGTAGGCTCAGGATTTCATGACCTCCATGGCAACCATGGGTTCATCCCAGTAATCTCTGATTTAACACACTGGACCTCATATTTGCCTTCAGAGAACTGTGTGATGATCTGGATATGGAGGGCTAGCCCTCTACCATGGTGAAATTATCTCTGTGTCATATGAAACTGACTGTAACCTGGGACCTGTGCAGGGCTAATATATCAATTAGGATGGTCCACCCTAAGTGCTTCATAGCTCTGGATGGATTCCAGTTAGTATTTAGGGAATTTCCCATCTACAGTGGGGCAAAAAAGTATTTAGTCAGCCACCAATGGTGCAAGTTCTCCCACTTAAAAAGATGAGAGAGGC